TATCGGCGCACAGGAGTAACGATGATTCCGAGACCTTTGGTCGGAGGAGTTACTTTTGCCCCGCCCCCACTTCCATCCAATATGCCACCGCCCCCGCTGTGCAGCATCTGATGGTACTGTGGTATTCAGTAAAAAATTATTATAATTGTGTTTAAAGAGTCGGCGTGGAGAAAGCAATTTTATTAGTGCAATTAGGAGTATAATCGATGCAGACATGGCCAGACAACAACGAGTTCATGGAATTTTTTAAGGATTTTTATGTTATTCAAAATCGATTTTCGTGTTCCTAATTGCACTAATAAAATTGCTTTCTCCACGCCGACTCTTTAAATACCTTAAGCGGAGATACAATAGTGAACAGATAGTTGTTCTGAACAAAGCCTTGCGGAAACGCCATGTTTGTCGTAGTATTGCACTAAATATCTCGTTTCTTCAGCGTTGTCGCGATAATGGCGTGTGCCCGAGCTCCATCCAGAGCCGAGTGCACAAGGCCCGGGCATATCATGCACTAGAGATAGAAAGAGTGTTTCTGAAAGAGGATATAGCCCGGTCCTCGGACACACTTCGTACTGTACAGTCTGAGTTTAGAGGATTGTATCGTGCTGCTCGCGCGTTCCTTTCATTCCATGACTACCTTCGATTTAGTTCCCTAATTGCTGCAAATGACAATAAACAACAAGTTAAGTTGATTGCAAAGTATGAGAAGAATTACAAGTGGTTACGCGTAAAGCGATTTGGTTCGCTCCACATGAATACGGATACAATTATTAACCGCGCTAACATCCAGCTTACTACCGTCCAAAAGGAACTACTTTGCCGAGGCACGGACTTCGGTATTCCTCCAAGCAGCAACAAGAAAGAGGTCATCCTAACAGAATTTGAATTATTTCACAAAAAACTCATCAACCTTACGCCAGTATCTAATGCCCAACAAGCCGTATGCACTGCCAGTGTTAGGGCAATAGCGGAGGAGCATGCCGAGAAGCCTCCTGATCGCAGCACATTCTCCTTATCTCGTGAACATCTTAAAACTCGCCAGGAACTCATTAAAAACAATGCGATCATTATCACCCGACCTGACAAAGGACGGGCCACAGTCATCCTCACTAGAGAGGAATACCTTTCTAAAATGGCAGTCATCCTTGATGATACCTCGAAGTTCTCAAAATTAGGCCCAGTCGCGACTCATGACAACACCGTAAAAGTAGAGAAGAACCTAGTTACGTATCTCAAGCGACTAAAAGCCGAAAAGGAAATTACCAATGGCGAGTTTCTTAAAATCAAGCCAATGGGTTCCATCCGTCCACGACTTTATGGCTTGCCAAAAATACATAAAACCAATTGTCCTTTGCGACCGATACTATCAATGGTTTCATCTCCACAGTACAGCATTTCTAAGTGGCTCTGTGTTATTCTCGGGGTCGTACAAAGTTATTACTGTACGCGCACAGTGAAAGACAGTTTCCAGTTTGTAGATATCTTGCGCTCTCATCAGGTTCCCGCTAGTGCTCATATGTGTTCATTTGACGTAGTATCATTGTTCACGAACGTACCATTGGATGAGACAATCGATATTTGTGCTGATGTACTGTATCGAAATGATTCGGTAGATACTCCTTGGTTGTCGGAGACAGCCTTCCGTAAGTTAATGTCCTTGGTCACTACTGGCGTAGAGTTCTCGTTCAACGACATAATGTATCGGCAGGTGGACGGTGTGGCCATGGGGTCCCCCCTTGGACCCGTTTTGGCAAATATATTCGTTGGATACTGTGAATCCTTGATCAATGAGTCGATGTGGCCTAAGGTATACGTTCGTTTCGTCGATGATTCTTTTACATATTTTGATTCCGTTGAGCAATGTGACACATTCTTTCATCATCTAAACAACCTACACCCAGCGCTTAGATACACATGTGAGCATGAGCATGACAACAAACTCGCCTTTCTGGATGTGCAGGTAGAAAAATCTAATAACAGCGTCGTAACATCAGTCTACCGAAAGCCCACTTTCACTGGGCAGTACATCGTCTATGATTCATATTGCTCACATCAATACAAAGTGAACCTGGTACGTAACCTGGTGGGGAGAGCAAAGCGGCTCTGCTCTGAAACGAAGCTCAACGACGAGCTGGAATTTCTCAGATCAATATTCCTTAAGAATGGATACCCACATGACTTATTGAACAAAATACTGAAGCAAGAATCTAATAACAAAGATACATTCACAGGTCCTCGGAAGTGTCCTATCTACTTATGCCTGCCTTGGAAAGGCAACGCGTCTGTCAGCATGTCCAGAGCTATCAAGACCCTAGTCAATAAAACATACTTTGCTGCCCACTTCATCCCCGTGTTCACCACGGTACGTGCGTTCATGGTGAGGAAGGATGTCCTACCTCCCCAGCTTTCAAGCCATTTGGTTTATCTCTTTGAGTGCCGGAATTGTGCTGCCCGGTACGTTGGTAGGACTCTTCAACACCTGAACGCACGTATCAGACAACATGTGCCGTTGCACTTATTACCACCAGCAGCCAGAGCAAAGAGGCCAAAGCGTGGTAGACCGTGTAAGAACCCAGTTAGCTCAGTAGACAAACACGCTGTGCCGACAGCGCCGCCTGTTCCCGTGCCACCACCGGCCCCACCACCTGGGGTGCCGTGGGTGGCTGGGGCTGGGGTGGGTTTGCCATCATTGACCTGGCCACCACTTCTCGACCCACTGCAAACGGCAGCGGAGCCTACTCTAGCACAACATCATCGTCCTGGAATGGAGGAGGGGCCACCGAGACACACTGAACCTTCACCTCGGCAGTTGCCCGTGCCTCCGCCTGAGCCACCCCCTTTACCTTTGGTGACTACCGAGACGGTGGTCCCCCCGGTGCTGGGATCCACGGTGCCGACTGTGTCTGGACAGAGAGGGAGATCATCGACAAACCAAAATGAAACCAATATCCTCACCCATAGACCCAGAAGAAGCACAGCAAACTATTCACTTGAAATTTATGCACGGAATGGACTTGGTCCACGCAAAATGGACAGTGGAAATGGGTGTGCAGTAGCAGAGAACCCAGCAACGGTGACGCGGAGCAGCGGTCAAACGACTTGTGATGCTGGTGGAGATGATGGAGCCATGTTGGAGGCTGATAAGGAGTGCAGTGAGACTGAGCATCAAACGGATGATGAGGAAGTGACTGATGATGATGATGGTGGTGATGAGGACGATGATGATGAAGATGAGACGGAGGACGAGGATAAGGCGGAGGAGGTCGAAGGAAAGGAGCGGGATGAGACGGAAGAGAGCGACGTGAGCAAAAAGTCAGCTGTATTTTGTCACTTGTTATCACGTCCAGATTGTCTTGTTGTGTACGATGATTCTCACTTTTCTGTTTTGTGCCGTGCAAGTTATGTTAAGCAGTTGAAGGTTCTGGAAGCTGTATGTATTCGTGTGCATAATCCTGTTCTTTGTAAACAAAAGAAGCATGTAGTCGCGCTAAAGTTGTTCTCGTAGCTGGTTATCAGATGTAAATGTTGTGTCATGTTGCACTGTATCACCTCTTGCTTTGTGGCTGCACTCAGTTATATACGTTAGCACTATGTTTGACACCTATTATGTAATGCTGTAGCACTTCCTTTGTTGTTCACACTTTTAATTAATTATGCTGTTATAAAATGTTCTATTGTTGTACACAGTACCCTCAGTTCCGATACTATTCACTGATGAGCGGAACACGAAAATCGATTTTGAATAACATAAAAATCCTTAAAAAATTCCATGAACTCGTTGTTGTCTGGCCATGTCTGCATCGATTATACTCCTAATTGCACTAATAATTGTGTTTCAGTGTTTTTGTTTTGCTATTCTTCTTTGCACTGTTCTACATGTATTACCTCTCTGTCACTGCTGTACATAATTTATTGTTCTCAGTCTTCGACCTTTGCTCCTGCCTGTACATGTATATCACCTGCAGAGAAGGCGCGAAAGTGCAGTTGTGACAAATTTCTGTATGTCTTTAAGCTTTGAAGAGCCTGAATTATGTGCTCCTGCTATGTGTTGAAGCAGTTTTGAATCGCTGTCTGCTGGTTGTAGATTGGTTGTGTGTTTCTATCAATACTTCAGTACATGCAATTGCTATTTTGTCTCCGCCTAGAATAGGAATCCTCATCACAAATGCTTTGCGAAGCTCAGAGTGACCGGCTGACCGATGACAAACATGTACAATTATGTACAGTGAGCAACCGAGGTTTCTTTTCTATGATTTATTGACACCGGCTTCTAAAGTATCAACGTCACAGTGCTCTCACTCAAGAAACACAGCGAGCTTTGTACAAGGCAAGGTAACCGTGTGATCGACCAAGGCGAGGCGTAGCAACACAAGAATCAATCTCCCGATAGCTAACTGTTTCGACCTTCTTTAATAGGTCTTGTCTTCGGGTCTCAGAGTCACTGGCTGAACTGATTGCAATGCAGTTCAATGAACAACAAAGCATTTACCAGAACGATCAGTAGAAGATGCACAGTAAGACATTTAAAGAAGTACACTGACTCGAGCCGCAAATACTTAGGCTGACGACACCTACTGGGGATCGGACCCAGGAGATTGCTCTGCCGCAAGCTATAAGCCACACACAACCTCCAAAGTTCATATCCGCCAAATTTATGAAGACCGCCACAGGGATTGGTCTCTGCGCCGCCTCCCCAGAGAATGCTTGCTTTGCCACGAAAACAACGTGAAGAAGAATGGATTAAATATAGCCAGTGCCTCTGCTGGCAAAACTTTCCAGGTGGAAATTCATCGCGGAGAACTCCAGATAACTTCACGAAACAAAATTCAATGTGCTATCATTATAATTTTCTAAACACACAATGCCATGTCAGCATTGACACATTATAGTAATTGGTCCTGATAAGAAAAAATATCGCCTCGCGTATTCGATACGGCAGGCGGCAAGTGAAATCGACACGTTCCGGTCCAAGTACATCCGTCAGAGATCTCCACACGAACACCTCAGAACTTCTGAGTAGTTGGGCGCATGAGGACGTCGTGAATTTCCACGTGTTCCGGAGCGCCAATCATGTGAATCAGTGCATCAGTGATATCCTCAGCATGTAGAATAGTCTCGAGCGAGGCATATTTCTCTTTGGCTGCCTGCGGGTCACCACTGCATCGCGCCTCAAACTCAGTTTCAACCATGCCGGGCGAGATTTGGCCAATGCGAATGAAGCCGCCCAGATCGCGCAGTTCACGCCTGGTCAGTTCAGTCATGAGCGTCACGGCGTGTTTGGCCATCTGATACGATGCCAGCTCTCGGTTGCTGGTCGACCTGTGGCCGCTCATGCTGTTGAGGGTGACAATTTGCCCGTTTTCGACCTTGCCCTGCTTCATGAGCTTGACAGCTTCCTGCGTGCACTGGCGTACGGCTAGGACGTTCACTTCAAACACCTCCCGCCATTGGTCGCGCGATCCGTCCAGGATCGTCGACTTGCGCGCCATGCCGGCATTGTTCACACACAGGTGGAGCGTACCCTGCTCGGCCTGAATCCGTTCAAACATCCGGAGCACCTCGTCATCTTTGAGCAAGTCGCACTGCACGGCGATCAGCCGCCCAGGAGCATCCTTCAGCTTCAGGGCGGCCTGCTCGATGCGATCCACACCTCGCGCACAGCCGTACACCACCATGCCATGGCCGACCAGGCGAGCAGCAACGTCAGCTCCAATACCAGCCGAGGCACCAGTCACTAGTGCTATTTTACCTCTCCATCGCTCCATGCTGCCCGGACCAAAATAATAGTTTACTTTCTCTGTTGCTCAGTTTTTTTCTTCAGTTTTTCTACGTCTAAAAACGGCACCAATGACTTGAGCGGAATGACCAGGTTCTCTTCCTCACACCTGAATCAGATTTCTCGCCGAGCTCTCGCTTTCCTATGCTTGCCAAACGTGAGCCTGTCCTACCACAAAGCAAGCTTCCTCCAGCAGATTACACTGCGCAATCACTATTCTTTTGAGTTTGCATGAACAACAACAAAAAATAAAATAATGCACAAAACTCATCCCAGCACTGCATGCACCGCGTACCGACGCGCGCGTGGCGAGAGCCGCGCGGCCGCAGCCCCACAGCCATGGCCAAAGAGGCGGACTCGGCTCGCGCTCTTTGACTACTGTACGTAGATCTACGGTCATTTGTGACACGATCATGGCGCGCGGCCCTAGGACTAGGACTCCAGTAGGAGTGCTACATCTTTTTTTCCTTGCGCGTGAAGACAGGTTGTACGTAGAGCTACCTGGTCTACTACCGACTACAGTAGTACTACAGAGCTAGAGAGGTGACGCTTTATCTGTCAGGCATGCAGAGCCACGCTGGGTGCATAAAGATAAACTGGCACTTGTCATGCTAGCTGCCATAAATATGATCTTCTCCAATGCCAATGGCAACCAACTGCAAGGAGTCATGAAAGATTTCTGAACTCCTATCCCTTGTGCTTGATGAGTGGTGGTGTCAACCACTTGAAGTCAGCGCGCGATTGAGTGAGTCCCTGCGTTCGCATACTTAGCGCTGCATGCTAGCGCTGGGATCAGGAGTGTGACTGGCACTCATCTGGCCTTTTTTCCCTCACAGAGTCACACCTCACACTGAGTCACAGCATGAAGACACCACTGCAGCTGTACTTATGGTTGATACATAATATTATGGTGGTAAAGACGCACCTGGCAATATGGCCGGCGGTAAATACATGTGTGGGCACTGGGCAGGTGTGTCTTTACCACCATAATTATTTTATCAACTACTTCACAGTATCTAAAAATTAATTTTATTTTGAGCACCTACTCAGCATCGGTTGATTGCACTTTGCAGAAGTCATGGTTCAGGTGTCATCAGCCTCCGTTACCACCTGACCGCGAACTGGGTCCTCTAACCTTCTTTCTTCCCGGGCCGAAGAAGTGAATAGTTTGTTACATAATTATGAAGACTCGAAAACAAAAGTAAAGTCGTGGCCAGCATTGTATTGTTTCGTGACATCTTGGGGACAGTAAAATGCTACTGCTCGTAGCTCGTCCGTCTTCTGGCATGTAGGGTGTAGTAGGTTCTGTATAACTGTTCCTTTGTTGCCAGGTATTTGGCCTGATAGATTTTGCATTTTGAATCATGCACCCTGGTCTGGAGCTGGTTCGGCGGCAACATAGCAAGCAAACTTGCCGGATCGTGCAAAGTTCTGTTGTGGATCTACTGACTACAATTGTAGTCACCACACGTAGACCTACCCTTTGCTCTTTTGTGTTGTCCGTAATGGTACGTACTACATTGACTGTGTGTGTTTGCGTCGGTGTCGATCGATACCCGCCGCTAATGTGTTGTTGGTGCTAACGGACTGATGTGTGTGTGTGTGTTTGTGTGCGTGCGTGCGTGCGTTTGCGTGTTTGTTTCTGCTGTACGAACAATTTCGACTATGCTTCACTGTTCCTGGAAACATCTCGATCCACACGCAGCAGCTAGTAAGTACCACTTCATTTCATGGCACAAACACGAACAGTTTTCTTTTATAGAGGTTATGCGAAAGAAGTCTTAAAAAATGAGTCGGCGGAACTCCGGAACCGCTTATGGGCGCTAAGCATACAACGAAACCGCTTATGAGCGCTAAGCATACAACGAAACCGCTTATGAGCGCTAAGCATACAACGAAACCGCTTATGAGCGCTAAGCATACAACGAAACCGCTTATGAGCGCTAAGCATACAACGAAACCGCTTATGAGCGCTAAGCATACAACGAAACGGCTTATGAGCGCTAAGCATACAACGAAACCGCTTATGAGCGCTAAGCATACAACGAAACCGCTTATGAGCGCTAAGCATACAACGAAACCGCTTATGAGCGCTATGTATACAGAGTGAGTCGCGCCAGTGTAGTACTAGTAGGGAGCTGCTCGCGAGTTGCTGGTGCTAGAAAGTGCATTGCTGTGCCGCTTCGTTGCCAACACGTCTCAACTAATGATGTAGTCGCATAACCTCTATAGCATATGAAACTATCTTCGGAATAACGTTCCTCCGACGGCACCTCTGTACATAAATGCAGTGAAACCTGTCTAAGACGACCGCTCAGGGGACCTTCGAAATTTGGTCTCTGTTACCAGGTGGTCTCCTTATCCAGAGTCATTTGACTGCACATGGCATCCCTTGTTCCTGTTAGCAGTGGTCCTCTGGGGCAGGTGGTCGCCTTATCAGGTTTTACTGTATGGCCAAATGGAGGAATGAATTCATGCATGCGCTGGTGTACAGAATTGGCTATGGATCTCGTGCAAGAGGACCCAGTGTTTACACATCTCACTTGGCATATTATCTGTGCAGTCATGTCTCCAAGGTGGTTGCAGTTGAATTAGAATGTGCGGTAAAGCACTGGCGTGTCGGACTTTAGGTAGCTAGTCTCTTGTAAGCTGTGCGTGTGGTTGGTCTGGAAAGGTATCACTGTACAGATGTAGCACTCACGCTCACAGTATCACAGTATCACAGTATCACAGTATCACGACTTTGATTATCATTGGGCTGTGATTTTACGATGAAGCTGCGAGAGCCTTCACAGTGCACTCTTTTTGATCATCACCGTGGCCTGTTACGGGGTTTGCTTGGGTGGTAATCCACATTGACGGTGCCTTCTATTTGCTTGATCTCTTTTATTGCCTCAGCTGCAGTTCCAGCTACTGCTCCATTGGTCACCTGTCCACCAGGATATGAATACATTGGATTTCCCACGTTCAATCCAGGAACGGGTGCATTTACATTCCCAATTGGAACATTCCCAACGGACTTTCCGACCGTAACTATTCCAACTGGCTTCCCTACGGCGGCCAGCTTTCCAACGTTTGATATTCCGACCGGGAGTCCACCTACAATAGGTTCTCTGCCAAGTTTTCCGACAGATTTTCCGACTGTTGATATCCCAACGGGTTTCCCCACGGTTGATATCCCAACGGGTTTCCCCACGGTTGATATCCCAACGGGTTTTCCAAGCTTCCCGACCCCTGATATTCCAACAGGCAGTTTTCCCACTGTCGATGTACCAACGGGCTTTCCGAGTGTACCGACAGTCGATATCGGAAGCGTGCCAACCATTCCAACCGATTTCCCAACGGGCTTCCCCAGCGTGAGCTTTCCGAATCTGCCAACGGGCGTTCCAGCGGGATGTTTCCCGATTCCAACTACACTGCCACTGGGAGCGACAACACAAGGTACAGCGTGAATGTAGGGAAGCTGTGGATAGCACGGGCATGTCCTTGGCTGACGCACATACATAGCAGAGTGACCAGAGTATGTGCTGTGCACGGAGCATTGGGTTATTCACACCCAAATGAAAGTGATGGCGTGCATAAACAGTTTTGGTGGAAGAACCAAACACATGGTTGACCGCCGTGAAGGAGACCAGTCTCCACAGTGGATCTGTTTCCATGCACAGAGTTTCAGCATGCAAACATAAAGCCTGCGCACTAACTTTCCTCATGACTGCCTATAGGCCTGCGAGCAAATCCCCGATCTGCCTTCATTGTCACAAAGCTGCACCCACTGCGGTATGGAAAGCTTTGCGGACAGAGGGATTTCTTTACACTGACTGTCCAGACCGTTCAACATAAGAGGCATTGTATGAGGCCAAAGAACCCTTGCCGCGATTCTCTCATATCAATTATTGCTGCAAAATAAGGGTGAACATGGCGGTGACATGACTGAGATTTCCGCAACGTGGAAGTGGGGTTGGTCACGGCTCAATTCAAATCTCAGTTCCTTCTGCTGCATATCAGCCAAGCAGCCAGAAAGCTGGCTTCTTGACAGCCACTTGGCATACAGTGGTGTTCCGGAAACAAGCGACAGTAGGTGTTGCAGGAGGCTACTACCCCTTCATGGTAGCACCTAAACAGTATGTCCCATGCACAAAGTACCTTTCACGGAAGTTTGTCGAAGTCGTACCCTTTTGCATTCGCTCTTATGGAATAAATCGGCAGGAATGAAATTCGTGCCTTTTGAGTTATGACTACTGTAGGTCAACAAATATTCGGCGCATAGTTATTCTCGGCTATTTTCGGCTTGATCATGTTTGGCCAAAAATTCGTTGCGGCCGAAATTTTGTTTTCCAAGGTTCAGTGTGACAGTGTATACAGGCAGCAGCAGTACAGGCCAAAAACGTGATGCGGCCGAAATGGGTTTTAGCCCTGGTAGGCCGGAATTTGAATGGGCCGAAAATTTGTCGACTTAAAGTACGTGCACGTGTACGTCCTTGTGACTCCATGTTGAATGGTGTTGACTATATTTATACTGACGGCTGTCAGGTGAGAAGTAGCCTTAGTCGGATCAGCCCTAATGCAGCATCAATGGTATTTGATTGTACAGTGGAACTCGCTTAGTATGTACAGTTAGACCTCACTTATCCGGTCCTCTCGCCATCCGGAAGAAAACCGCTGGTTACCGATTTTCAGCATACGCCATGCATACATACAGTGTGTGTGTGTTCGATTGTCCGGTTCCCTCGCCTGTCCAGATATTTTGTGGAAAACGGATGCGTGCGGTTACCGTATTTCCACAAATAGTAGGCCGGTCTACTATTTTTTCAACCTCGTCCTAACCCGGCCTTATAATCGAGGACGGTCTTGTATTCGAGGACGGTCTTTTATTCTTTCAACCCAGTTTGACCCCGGTCTTCTATTTCTCGCCACTCAGTTTTACCCCCGTTCTTCCATTTTCTTCTACACAGTTTGAGCACGGTCTTCTATTTTTTCCACAGTTTAAGCACGGTCTTCTATTTTTAACACAAGGACAAAGACTCATTTAGTAGGCCCGGTCTTCTAATCGGAGACGGTCTTTTATTTTTTCAATCGCCCCCCCCCCCCGCCCCGGCCTTGTATACGAGGAAGGCGTTGTATACGAGGACGGCCTTTTATTTGCAGAAATACGGTATGCGAGGTCTGACAAGACACACTCTTGCTTTGTACGGACACATTGTCTGCAGCGCGGGTGTATTCATCCGTACTGAAGTACATGTATGTTGGGATAAGAGGTACTTTGGATGCCAAGTACACTTTCCAGCTGCCCACCAGGGTATGTACTATCAGAGTTCTACGATGTCCTGAATCATATCTGTTTGTGACTTTTGTTTCAGCTTCACCTCAACCGACTATTGACCTCACTCCCAGTAAGTGAATGTGATCACACTATTTTTGCCAAATTCGAGTAGGAATGAATTGTAGGGTAGAGAAAACACAATCGTGTGCGAGTTATGAGTGCTGACAATCCAACAATTGAACAAAAATAATAATGAATAGCCAGTGCTTCGAAGTAAGTGTGACCACTGGGCAAAAACGGATAAGAAGCCTCCCCTGTATAATGCTGCAGTATGAGCGTCAGTGTTTCTCACTTCGACCGCTTTGGTTTGAAGCAGCACCGTGCATCAATTAATGTTGTATGGTGTGAACATTTGCCAAGTGTCATTTTCTTCATGTTGCCCTTTTATTTGGCGTGGTGTGAATTCCAGGATGTGTCTCTTTTCCAGAGGAGTGCTGTGGGGCACCTCGTTGCATCGACTCAACCTTCGCCAACTACTCCTCCATCGTTGTGAATTATGCGATCAGGTGTGGCGATCCGACATCCTGCAACCCAGCACGGTTTGCACAGTGCAGTGTCAGCCCTGTTACTGGCTTCTGCGAGCAGCTAGGATCTTTCAGTGTGCCACAAAATACTGGTACTGTACCGACCGTTGCCAGTAAGTCCTCCAGGAGCAGGATTCCTGTGATTTCTGGACTGACCTGTGAAGGGGGTAACCATGGTAACCGACCATCGTCATATACTGCATGAGCTGAAAGTGCGACGAGTCTAAATAAACGATCCCGCCATCACAGAACTGTCTTTTTAAACGCTGAGCATTGTGCCCCGTAAAAGATTCAGGTTTTGCAGTAAGAGTCTTCTTGCAGCGTATGCTATGCATGCATTTACATTTCGTTCTCCGTGACTCGCGCAGTGCATGTTGTCCGTGCCTGGTGTATTCGTACTTTTTTCACTTTCATACTGCCATCGATGGCTGGTAACCATATTGTCCCCTTCCTAAACGTCGGCCTCCATTCCCCGGCGGTGTATGAGAGAGAGAGAGAGAGAGAGAGAGAGAGAGAGAGAGAGAGAGAGAGAGAGAGAGAGAGAGAGGGAGGGAGAGAGAGAGAGAGAGAGAGAGAGAGAGAAAGAGAGAGAGAGAGGGAGAGAAAGAGAAAGAGAGAGAGAGAGAGAGAGAGAGAGAGAGAGAGAGAGAGAGAGAGATAGAGAGAGAGAGAGAGAGGGAGAAAGAGAGAGAGAAAGAGAGAGAGGTACATCTTCACTTATATCAAGCATAAGACAATTTAGGACAAAACAATTTAGAGAAGAAACATACCGTTCTTTTGAAATACTAGCAGCCTCTAGAATGGTCAATTTCTTCCTATGTATGGTGCATTACCTTCTTGGTATATTTCATAGAATCTGGGGGATCTCTTCGCTCTTTGAGGAGTTGTCAGTGCCGCTGATTACCGAGAAACGAGAGAGCTTGGAAGCTCAGGGCCCTACGCTATGCTTTTTTGCCTTGATGACCTAGACAAAAAAAAAGCATAGGGATGTTATAAATTCTTTAAAAAAATCCTTTTTTTAAGACATAACCTGGGATTCGAACCCGCACTATCGCGCGCCCTGCATGCATCCCCCGATACACTTCGCATACATACTAATTCTTCCAAGTTGTTTCACATTGTGATCTTGCATTTGAAAGCCCTATTTGAATATGCATTGTGGCCAGCCGTCTTTGATGGCACGGTACGGTAGGGGATAGGTACGGGACAGGTACGATCGAGGGTAATACAACACCGTCTCCCGTACCGTACCGTACCATCAAACACAGCTGGCCACATACAGCTGCCCGCAATATTCAAATAGGGCTTTCAAACGCAAGATACTAACGTGAAGCAACTTGGAAGAATGGGTATGAATGCGAAGTGTAAGGGGGAATGCATGTAGGGCGATAGTGCGGGTTCGAATCCCAGGATATGCCTGAAAAAAAATAGGAGAATTGAAAAATTTATAATTATCCTATGCTTTTTTGCCGTCAGATACGGATAGCGCCAGGCGTGACACAAACAAACAAACAAACACACAAACAAATACCAAATTAAAGCTGTGTGGACCCTGGCTAGCGCCAGACGTTACTGAAGTAACGTCTTCTGCATAGCTACGGGAATAATTTTATTGATGCTCATTGTCACAACATTGACCATGTTCACGTGTTCTTGTTGTGTTTTGTGTAATCAGCTGCACCACCAGTCACAGGAGTAGACAGTAAGTTGATATTTGGTGCTTCCTTTTCTCATTCCCCAAAAGATCCATTTGTGAGAATTTTTTGAATATGTATGAGTTAAGGGATAAGGGTAAAAAAACATTCGAGACAGCTCCCCCCCCCCCCCCCCCTGTTTAGGACTCAAGGACTCAAAAAATTGCAAAAATCACTTTTCATGCATTATCAGAAAATGTAATTCTACAATGTTTCTTTTAAAAGTGTAGTGCTACATTTACTGTGTTTCTGAAGAAAATCATTGCCGTGTGGTTGGCATTGCTTGCACTTTTCCTGCAGGGTGTATTTCCTATCCAACTCAGTGCTGTGGCCCGCCAGTATGCTACGATACTCAATCGCCCACGTTCTTGACGACATTGCAGAACTACGCAATAGCTTGCGGCGGTGACGCATCATTGTGCAACCCGCTCCCTTTCACCGTGTGCCAGTATATACCCAGCAACGGCAGCTGTGTTGGCTCTGGTTTGTTCTCAATTGCACCACCGACTGCACCACCCACTGCACCGGCAACAAGTAAGACAATGGGAAGCACACTGTGATTTCTTGCATTACACTTTGGGTGTGGCAACGTCAGTGCTTAGGATTTCGATTCCCTGTTATAAACGCATTGCCTGTTCCATATTACCACACGAAGAGACAAAGCCAGTAGTCAATCTGATGAGGTACCATTACTTCTCAAATCAGTACCTGGTGACAATGTGACGAAGCGCAATGACGTCAATTTATGCAGCGTATTGGCGGAAAAACTGTGCTGAAACGTACCCAGGCTGAACAATCCATGAATACATAGTCAAACCAAGAGCACTTAGTGTACGCCCTGGGACGACTGCGTCCTTAAAACCCCACACTGGCGGAGCAACACATACTCGTTGTGTTGGAGAGGAGAATTTCAACGACTTCAATGAAACCTAAGAAAAAAAACAATAATACAGAGTTGGGCGCGTGAAGATATCCATTCGAGAAAAGTTGAACGAGGTAAAGGATGAAAGAATGTTATATGCACATCTACAACAAATATATCAGTAAGGCAGACAGCATCAGCAAGCAGGGCCCCATGCCCAATGTAAACCTCTATTGGGGAGACTAGATGGTAGCCAATCACGGCAGAAAAGCAAGATTGTCATGTGCACTAACAAACATTTAGAATGGAAATGGTAATTACCTTTACTTTTCAAAGCTCTGCTTTCTTCCACTAGAAGGAGGGAGATCTTCAATTATTGTACAATTCATATAATGCTCCAAACTAAGAAATTTGATTTTTGCCTAAGCTGCAGAAAGTGGCCAATGTCCTTGATCGAGCCTAGAACATAGAAGGCTGTCTGATGATCTTCGCCTGGCAGCAAACTAGGCGTTACAATAAACCCGAACGTCCTCTGCAGAGTCTGCTTTGTTTCTTCGAACTGTGATCTCAAATTTCGTGTACACTGATTCTTAAGTGCTGCTTTCTTTCCTTGGTGCTTGTCTTTGATTGGTTTGTCTTACAGCACCGTCGCCTCCTCCAGTCAATCCATCAGTCAATCCATCGGTCACTCCACCGGCCACTCAGCCAGTCACCTGTCCACCAGGATACGAGTATATCGGAATTCCCACATTCAATCCAGGAACTGGTGCATTCACATTCCCAATTGGAAGTTTCCCAACAGTTGATCTTCCTACAGGAAATATTCCAACTGGTTTCCCTACAGTGGGCAGTCTTCCGACGTTTGAAATTCCAACTGGCAGTCCTCCTACAATAGGTTCTCTACCAAGTTTCCCAACAGACTTTCCCACTTTCAATATTCCTACAGGTTCTGTTCCATCAATACCTACAGTCGATATTCCAACAGGTTTCCCTACTTTCGATATTCCAACAGGTAGTTTCCCCACTGTGGATATTCCAACAGGTTTTCCAAGTATACCAACTGTTGATCTTGGAAGTGTCCCAACTGTTCCCACCAACTTCCCCAGTGTGCCAACTGGTTTCCCTAGCATACCCACAGGTTTCCCGAGCGTGAGCTTTCCAAATCTGCCAACTGGAGTTCCAGCGGGATGCTTCCCGATTCCAACTACACTGCCTCTGGGAGCTACAACGCAAGGTAAATTACCGATGTAACGTAAACGCAGTATGATCGGGCGCCAGTAGACATGTTGCCCAATATCTTGCGCCCTAGAACCTCGACAGAACTTTGGAATGTACCATTGAAGATATAAAAAAGTAGCATGAAGCAGAAAGCCCTGTTTTTTTCGCACTCTTTTTTTCTGCTCATTCACTATACTTATGGTTTTCTTCATTAATTTTATATTGACTCGTTAACATATGTGAGACTTGTTATGGCACAGAGGTGCACTTCCGGGTTGGATGATTCTCGATGCTACATGCAGGGGCACATCTCCCCCGAAGATTCAGTAGAACTGCCCGTATCCAGGAAAATTGGAACGGCCACTGCCCCAAACTAGCAATTGCCTGCGACTTCAAACATACCTACTAATTTCATACAAAAAAAGAACCCGTTTTATACTAATAAAAAATAATTTTTGCAATGATTATTGTAGAATAGTCATGTTTTGTAGCTTGGAAGTTGCATGTTAGACGGGAGTGCGTGGATGTGGGGAGATTAGGCGAGTTTTACTGCAATCTCACTTGCATAACTTGTGTTTGTGACTTGTGTTTCAGCATCAAGTCAACCAACTCTTAACCCTACTCCACGTAAGTTCACTTCAGACGAAATCGAACAAAGAAACGCATCACATGACTTTACTTCAAACACTCGACCCGTGTCTGTTTGCTGTGAATGGCACTCTAGTTTCACCAAATGTTCGCCCACTGCCCTTGATCAAGGTGAAAAAGCGAATCTGGCTCCAATGGAGTTTGCGAATCCATAAACAAATAATATAGAAATGGAAAAGGACCTAGGAACTACAAGTTACGCTGTAATGTCCATGAACACCACCAGTTACTAAACAATCAGCTCATACGATAACATTGCACGCCACTGACTGACAGTACTGACGTTCTACGTTTTACGTTCCTTGGTCCTTTTTTTCTTTTTTATAAATTAATCCTCTTGATTGAAGGCTGCTCGCAGCACACAGCCACTGCAATGTAGCTATGCGCTTACACTCAAGTAGACATCAGGACTACTGTGTTTCTGAAGAGAATCATTGGCATTTGCCATGTGTTTGGCATTGCTTGCACTTTTCCTGCAGGGTGTATTTCCTATCCCACTCAGTGCTGTGGCCCGCCAGTATGCTATGATACTCAATCACCCACGTTCTTGACGACATTGCAGGACTACGCTTTAACTTGCCGTGGTGATGCATCATTGTGCAACCCGCTCCCTTTCACCGTGTGCCAGTATATACCCAGCAACGACAGCTGTGTTGGCTCTGGTTTGTTCTCAATTGCACCACCCACTGCACCGGCAACAAGTAAGACAATGAGAAGCACACTGTGATTTCTTGCATTACACTTTGTTGTGACAACCACATGGATGCCGTGAATAGAATTTCAGTCTTTGACCAATTTGTGGTGACTCACCTCCCACTACATAGGGGCTGCATCTGTGCCTTGATCCTAGAGGGTGGTGGCGGTCCTACGGATGCGGAAAACTCGGCTTCTAGCCGAGTCTCACGAGAACCGTGAAGTTTTTTGAATGAAATTGTTGTGACAACGTCAGTGCTTTTGATTACGATTCCTTGTAGTAGACGTATTAACTGATTCTGTACCTTTGTCAAACTAGACTAGATGTTTGCCCCTTGTCTCGTATGGGCTTGTGTTGGGGAGGTAGACAGTCATTTGCCCTGCATATGGTTTCTGCTTCATAGGAAAATTAGACTGCTTTAATGTAAGAAATAGAACATTTGCATCCAGTCTTCTGTTGGCACGACATTGTGAGCTCAAATTCACGCGAGGGTGCCGGTCATTGCAAGCTCTTATCTGCAAAATAAACCGTACGGCAGTTCACATTGCTTGCTTGACACTGTACAGCATCCCGCAGACCGGTTCAGTGATAAGTTGGTTGCGTGCACTACAATCATGGTTGTGAATTGATAGCTCCGATACCGTGTACCATGTTGTTGAAATTTTGTGGAACACTTGGGAAAATATTCATTCTTGTGTTTATCTTGTCCATGAAAGAGGATATTATACCATGACACTCTTAGCTTTTTAAAAAAATTAATATTTCGTGACTGTAATTGATCTTGACTGCCCTGTGTGCTGATGCAAGGTCGGAAAGTTCACATGGTCAGAATGGCCGTTGCCACAACTATTATAGTCAGTGGTCAAGCAAGTGCATCCATATTCAACCAAATGTGAACTAGTTCTTAACCCTTTAACTGCCGCTACATTTTCATGTGCAGCCTATACTAAGCAGTTTCAAATCTCACTATGGCCCCAAAAAAAGAGATGACAATTTCTCTCACACATTTTAATGAGCCTTTTTCTTGTGTTTGCCTTCAATCGGTTTGCCCTGCAGCACCTGCTCCTCCTCCAGTCACTCCATCAGTCACTCCAACGGTCACTCAGCCAGTCACCTGTCCACCAGGTTATGAATACATTGGATTTCCCACATTCAATCCAGGAACTGGTGCATTCACATTCCCAATTGGAAGTTTCCCAACAGTTGATCTTCCTACAGGAAATATTCCAACTGGTTTCCCTACAGTGGGCAGTCTTCCTACGTTTGATATTCCAACTGGCAGTCCTCCCACAATAGGTTCACTACCAAGTTTCCCAACAGACTTTCCCACTTTCAATATTCCTACAGGTTCTGTTCCATCAATACCTACAGTCGATATTCCAACAGGTTTCCCGACTTTTGACATTCCAACAGGTAGTTTCCCCACTGTGGATATTCCAACAGGTTTTCCAAGTATACCAACGGTTGATCTTGGAAGTGTCCCAACTGTTCCCACCAACTTTCCCAGCGTGCCAACTGGTTTCCCAAGCATACCCACAGGTTTCCCCAGTGTGAGCATTCCCAATCTGCCAACTGGAGTTCCAGTAGGATGTTTCCCGATTCCAACCACACTGCCACTGGGCGCAACAACACAGGCACAGAGTCCGCCGACAACTCAAGGTAGGGACAACTAAGTTCCAGTGTGCATGTTGATTTACTCAACAGGTTTTCGTCGCAATTCGTTCACGGCCTGGGTGCGAGGGTCACTCAGACTGAATGCCCGCAATCCTCCGTTGAGGATCAAGACATGCTGTGCAAGTGTTGGCGCATGAATTTAGCACTGCTGCCAGGAATGCACTGTGTCCATGAACTGATCTGCCGTGCTCCATCCTGTGCACTCTCTTGCAGTGTTTTGCATTATCAGTGCACTCTGATATTGATGCGTTGAGCCGATGAAGAAAACATTGTTGTTCAATAGATGCATGCATGGTCACATGTTTGCCCAGTGGTTCTGAGCTCCGCTGATATGGCCGAACCAGCTGAGCTAGGTGTGCGGAGTTTGAGTTCATTTGCAACTGCTTGGTAATTAGGGCTGCAAGGAATATTCGAATATTCGATTGATATTCGTTTGGAACCCGATAGAAGGAATATTTTCCCCTTTAGAGTATTCGTTCGTTTTGACACGTGCGCACACTCTGCTCGTGTCGATCTATTGTAGTAATTCTTGGACAGATGGAGTGATATGTACATGTGTTATGTGTTGAGAAAGGGGACATGACTCCACTAGACATCTACTTGGTCTAGAACAACCTGGGACTAGCCAAACACTTTCTAAGATTCTTTTGGTATCGAATACTGTACTTTCGCAAATTTTCGGTGTACTTTAATTTTCGGTACTTTCGGTGCGTCTGTTTCATACCTAAAATTTCAATACACCGAACAAACACTAACACACATAATCCAATAAGGAACTGCTTCTCTGTACCGAAAATTTCTGTTCACCTAACCTAGCCTGTTGCCCTCATACCGAAAATATTGAGCACTGAAAATTTCTGAAATTAGAGTATTCGATTCATTTACAAAAAATTCAGTTTCGTTCCTATTTAAATGATTTGTTTCATCCTTAGAAATAATTGAGCATTCGAGAGAATATTCGTTATTCGTTCGTTACGGATGAGTATACGTTCGTTTGTGAAATAGAATATTCGTTGCAGCCCTATTGGTAATAGACTGGTTGATTGTTTGGTGATAAACTGGCTGATTCGATCATGCTAAAATGCTTGTTTGTGTGTATGTGGCACACACTTTAAACCACTAACGAGATCACGGATTGCTTCATGTATGTATGTATGTGTCCGCAGATTGAGTATGTATGTATGTATGTATGTATGTATGTATGTATGTATGTATGTATGTATGTATGTATGTATGTATGTATGTATGTATGTGTGTGTGTGTATGTTGGATCACGGGACGGATACCCTGATGCCGTCAATCCTTTTTCTGCACCTTGTCCTCACCCACTTACTGAGGTGTGGTGAGCCCATAAGTGGGATCATTTCAAGTCCACCCTAGTTTGGGGATTTCAGGGGGTGTCGGCCGTTGGGTGGTTCAATGGCCAATTGAGTCATCTTTCCAAGATTCCTTTTGAGTCTCTCTCCCCTCTCCCGGGGAGACCCACGTGACCAATTTTGGCAGTGAGCAAGTACAAGTACAAGTACAAGTGTATGTGTGTATGTATGTGTGTGTATATGTATGTGTATATGTATGTGTGTGTATGTGTGTGTATGTGTGTGTATGTGTGTGTGTTTTTGTTCATCCAGCTCCACCTCCAACCGTTACGATTGCCAGTAAGTTGTGATCATGGGATCACGCTCGAAGATTTGTTGGAAATGCTTTGAGGGTTGTGAACGATCAAAATATGTTGCAGTTTGGCCATGATATCATGCTTCAAGAGGGCTGCTAGTTTGCAATGCGCACTGCTCTTATCAGTAATGCTCTTATTATAGTCAAAATTCAGCTGAAGTTTGGTTCATGTACATTTCCCCTAAGGGATATGGCCCAAATTACGTTGAACTATGAACATCGAGTGGAAAGACAATCTCATAGTGCGTACAACAATTGTAATTATTGTTTGCTGGATTCAATGCGACAAAAAGGCATATACTTGATTTTCAGTGCTCTCTGGATTAACTGTTGATTCCCAACTCAGTTACGACCTAACCTGCGGCCATGCCTTTTTCATGAGCATAGCGTGTTGAGGTACAAGTGCTGAATGAATGTTGTGTGTCGCGTTGTCACTGCCAGGATGTATGTCCATACCACGGGAGTGCTGTGGCGAGCCGTACTGCGTCGACACAAACTTTCCGAACGCGACGACCATCTCGGTGGACTATCTTACGCGTTGTGGAGACCCGACGTTGACATGCAACCCACAGCGTTTCGCTCAGTGCAGCGTCAGCCCTACCACTGGCGTCTGTGAGCAGACTGGCGCAATCTCTTTTGCTCCGAGCTTTCCCGTTACCACGCAGTTCAGAAGTAAGTCCTGTAGAACACATCTGATCCCAACCTCGCGTATTTATCTATTTTTTCATTTACTGCGTGTACTTCAGTAAAGAGAGACAGGAAGGAGGAAAGAGAAAACAATAACTATCGGTACAGAATGGGCCGTATAAATATACTACCATCTCCTAAACCGCACGTTACCTCCTATGCTTGAGGAAGGTGTTACTTTCATAGAAGATGTCTGAACTGCTTCTCATTTTAGAAGAAATGCTTCAAGCTCTGATTGTATATGTTTCTCAATGTTATCGACCCTATTTCGGTAAGCCTAACTGATTACCGGTATATAGGCTGATATGTCCTGTAAAGTTCGATCCTTGAACTTACTGCACGCACGTACACCAAGCCAGTTCCCGTATATTCTCTATTGTAAGCGCTGTGCTTCTTTCTTTTCAACTCGCCTCTACCCCATGCTGGTAATGGAGGCTGCGCTTATAATGGGGACCGTGCTTGCATTTTCTTCAACCAATAACTCTCTACAGAGGAGGAAGAAATCCATGCTAGACATCATGCATGGAATGCCGAATTCCATTAAGACCGTGCTAATAATAGAGACTGTGCTTATAATGTTTCGAAAGGTGCTGACAGTGCGCCAGTATTGGAGACTGTGCTAGTAATGGAGACCCGTGCTTATAATTGAGAGCATTTGGAGGTCTTCAAAGCTCAGTTCCTGCTTCCCTTTTTGTGTTTGTTTCTTTTCCGGTATCATTGCACGCTAAATATAATCGGAATGATGACCAGCTCCCACAGTGGATACATCTCAAGGTACGTCTTCAAACCTCTACACACACATTTGGAGAGGAAGTACTAAAACCTTGCATATCTTAATGATCAAACTGTCACATCAGACTAGGTATCTGTGTGATACAGCGGTCCTAATACTGGCACCGGAGTAACACGAAATAGAGGAGTTATATGTAGGCACTGTATGATTTGTCGTCTAAAGGATGTCCTTTGGATGTCAAGTGACATGCATGAGTGTCAAAAATGGTCAGTCTACATGAAATGGTTGCATTCATCTTAACTTCATTCAACTTCACCGCAGAGTACTTGGGCGTCATGCCAATTCTGCACTACCTTTCCTGCCTCTGTGTTCTGTGGTTGCAGCTGCAACTCCTCCACCAGTCACCCCACCGGTTACTCAGCCAGTCACCTGTCCACCAGGATATGAATATATCGGGATTCCCACATTCAATCCAGGAACTGGTGCATTCACATTCCCAATTGGAAGTTTCCCAACAGTTGATCTTCCTACAGGAAATATTCCAACTGGCTTCCCTACAGTGGGCAGTCTTCCAACGTTTGATATTCCAACTGGCAGTCCTCCTACAATAGGTTCTCTACCAAGTTTCCCAACAGACTTTCCAACATTCAATATTCCTACAGGTTCTGTTCCATCAATACCTACAGTCGATATTCCAACAGGTTTCCCTACTTTCGATATTCCAACAGGTAGTTTCCCCACTGTGGATATTCCAACAGGTTTTCCAAGTATTCCAACTGTTGATCTTGGAAGTGTCCCAACTGTTCCCACCAACTTTCCCAGTGTTCCAACTGGTTTCCCAAGCATACCCACAGGTTTCCCCAGTGTGAGCATTCCCAATCTGCCAACTGGAGTTCCAGCAGGATGTTTCCCAATTCCGACCACGTTGCCACTGGGAGCAACAACAACGGGCCGTGCACCAACCAGCACTCCTGCAGCGCCGACAACACCACAAGCAGTTGCTTCAACAACCCCGCTCTTTGCCACTAGTGGTGCAACAACATCTCAGGCAACAACTCAACCTCGTCAGACCACGCCAGGTAAATTAGTTGTCTTCCCAGTCAATCAATACTCCACAAAACCGCTTTAAAAGTGTGGATATGAACATTTTCTTTTTACTTTTTAAATATACTATGATTCTACTCAAGTGTAGCAGTATCCAATAACATTGAAACGGAACTCCGACGAACATCTGTCCTTTCCTGAAGAACAGGGCAATCATTTCATCTACATTCGTCCGGAGGGCTGTTTGCTCAAAGTGTGTTCTGGCAAGCCGTTACAACATGGATTTACACTGCTTTCCCTCTAAGGCGAGACCAAAAAATAGAGATTCCCGGGCCCTCCTGCACCAAAATCGAGCCAAAGCCAATTTGTTTTTTTGAACAATTCATACATGTACAGTACTGATCGTGTGAGTAGATCTGTGACGTGGAGTCACACAAACCTGAGCTTGTACGGCTCCCAGATGTACAGATCAGGGTCATCGTTGGTCGAAATATAGAATAATTGAACGGGTAAACCGCGTACCTGTTGCCTGTAAAAAAAATTGAAAAACATTAATAAAGAATAAAATTTGCCCGCAAGCACCAATTTCACATGGGTCCTGACCGGGAATCTCGATTTTATTTTGGTCTCACCTAAAGATCAAAACTACTTATTTTTAAACAAACGGTGAGGAGACAATAATTTGATACCGTATTATCTCTAATATAAGCACGGTCCTTTATTTTTTCAATGTACCTCCGCCCCGTGCTATTATTGGAGACGTTCCTTTATTGGAGACTGTTCCATTAATGTTTCAACCTCATTTCAGAGGCATGTTGCCATGCCAAATTCATGTCAGACACACACATTTAAGGGTTTCTTCGTCTGTACAGATAATGAATTTTGCACAGTGTGCTTATAATGGAGACTGAGCACTTTATTTTTTGAATGCCGCCCCAAGGTGTTCTATTGGAGACGTGCTATTATTGGAGACTGTGCTTATATTAGAGATAACACGGTAACCGCAATCAAGCACATAGTCTCCACCGTTCTACATTGCATGAATAAAGTACACAAATGTCGGTTCAGCTCATTTTATTGATTGTGGTTATCTACTAATTTTTGACGTATATTTATCACATCGTCAAGAGCAGTAAAATTTGGGTTGTGATGATTTCCGCAAAAAATGTTTCTCTAAAAGTAAGCTGCATAAATCGTCGACTGTCACTTCCAAATTCTATTATTCTGTTACTGTATAGCAGGGAATTTTCGGACGGAAATATTTTCGGACAAAGCCGAATTTCGACCTTTCGTACGAATTTTATATTCGTACATACTAAATGCACATATTCGCAAGCAGTACACGTGAACAAATTTTAGTACGGAATTAATTTTAGTACAAAAGAGGCCGTATACGAAATCGAACGAAAATAAATTTCGTCCGAAAATGTCGTGCTTTACAGTATCCCATGCGGTGATTATAGAAGTATTGCTTTGTCTTGAGATCTCAATTCTCTCTTCTGTGTTCGCTGCAGCTCCACCAACTATTCCAGTCGTCACCTGTCCACCAGGATATGAATACATTGGAGTTCCCACATTCAATCCAGGAACGGGTGCATTCACATTCCCAATTGGAAGTTTCCCAACAGTTGATCTTCCTACAGGAAATATTCCAACTGGTTTCCCTACAGTGGGCAGTCTTCCAACGTTTGATATTCCAACTGGCAGTCCTCCTACAATAGGTTCTCTACCAAGTTTCCCAACAGACTTTCCAACATTCAATATTCCTACAGGTTCTGTTCCATCAATACCTACAGTCGATATTCCAACAGGTTTCCCTACTTTCAACATTCCAACAGGTAGTTTCCCCACTGTGGATATTCCAACAGGTTTTCCAAGTATACCAACTGTTGATCTTGGAAGTGTCCCAACTGTTCCCACCAACTTTCCCAGTGTGCCAACTGGTTTCCCAAGCATACCCACAGGTTTCCCCAGTGTGAGCATTCCAAATCTGCCAACAGGAGTTCCAGCGGGTTGTTTCCCAATTCCGACCACACTGCCACTGGGAGCAACAACAACGGGCCGTGCCCCAACCAGCACTCCTGCACCACCGACAACACCTCGTGTGTCTACCCCGGTGGCAACAACTGGAGGTGCCCCAACGTCTCCGCCAACAACCCCACCCAGTCCTACAACACCAGGTAAATCATCACTCCTCTGCAAACCCTTTTTCTAATGGATCCTATCCAATGCACGATGATAGTATATTGTTGTCATTGCAGTACGTAGAACATGTTTTCAGAGGATTACTTTAATGGAAATACCAAATTCTTGGTTTAAAAAAGGGTGCATTTGCAGCTGACGCATTTATAATTCTCCCCGCAAGTCAGCACATGCGTATGAGCTTCTCCTGCAAGAGTTGCGACGGAATGATGGTGGCGATGATCAGGCGGTGTTGTAGGATTTCTGCTTTCTTCAATAATCCATAATTGAAATTCTCACATTCTCTCTTTGAGCATGTGCTAACACTATCATACTTTCTTCTGTGTTTGCTGCAGCGCCACCAACTATTCCAGTTGTCACCTGTCCACCAGGATATGAATACATTGGAGTTCCCACATTCAATCCAGGAACTGGTGCATTCACATTCCCAATTGGAAGTTTCCCAACAGTAGATCTTCCTACAGGAAATATTCCAACTGGTTTCCCTACAGTGGGCAGTCTTCCAACGTTTGATATTCCAACTGGCAGTCCTCCTACAATAGGTTCTCTACCAAGTTTCCCAACAGACTTTCCAACATTCAATATTCCTACAGGTTCTGTTCCATCAATACCTACAGTCGATATTCCAACAGGTTTCCCTACTTTCGACATTCCAACAGGTAGTTTCCCCACTGTGGATATTCCAACAGGTTTTCCAAGTATTCCAACTGTTGATCTTGGAAGTGTCCCAACTGTGCCCACCAACTTTCCCAGCGTGCCAACTGGTTTCCCAAGCATACCCACAGGTTTCCCCAGTGTGAGCATTCCAAATCTGCCAACAGGAGTTCCAGTGGGATGTTTCCCAATTCCGACCACGCTGCCACTGGGAGCAACAACAACAGCCCGTGCCCCAACCAGCACTCCTGCAGCGCCGACAACACCTCGTGTGTCCACCCCGGTGGCAACAACTGGAGGTGCCCCAACGTCTCCGCCAACAACCCCACCAAGTCCTACAACACCAGGTAAATTGTCACTCCTCTGCAAACCCTTTTTTATCTGTCTGCTGGCATTGAGTTCCCACACATTTCAGAGAAAACACTGATTGAAATTTTATTAAAAACATACTGAAACAGGGAGGCCTTCTGGAAATATCCTTTTTCTGTCGATGACATTTTGTGACTTGATGGCAGGGGTTCAAGTGGTGTTGACCTAAACCAAAAAGTGACGTGACCTGAGTAAGTCTATTGAAAGGACCAACGCAAGTGTCAGTGTTCATGTATGAACATTTGTCAGGGTAGGACGTGGGAGAGGGTAGGGGTATCAGGAGGAAATGAATAATTTCAAAATGATCTTTTTGAGCAAGTGACACTCCAAATGTGAAGTTTTCTTTTTCTATGAATATGTGCTTACATTTTCATACTTTCTTCTGTGTTTGCTCCAGCCCCTCCAACTATTCCAGTCGTCACCTGTCCACCAGGATATGAGTATATTGGAGTTCCCACATTCAATCCAGGAACGGGTGCATTCACATTCCCAATTGGAAGTTTCCCAACAGTTGATCTTCCTACAGGAAATATTCCAACTGGTTTCCCTACAGCGGGCAGTCTTCCAACGTTTGATATTCCAACTGGCAATCCTCCTACAATAGGTTCTCTACCAAGTTTCCCAACAGACTTTCCAACATTCAATATTCCTACAGGTTCTGTTCCATCAATACCTACAGTCGATATTCCAACAGGTTTCCCTACTTTCGACATTCCAACAGGTAGTTTCCCCACTGTGGATATTCCAACAGGTTTTCCAAGTATACCAACTGTTGATCTTGGAAGTGTCCCAACTGTTCCCACCAACTTTCCCAGTGTGCCAACTGGTTTCCCAAGCATACCCACAGGTTTCCCCAGTGTGAGCATTCCAAATCTGCCAACAGGAGTTCCAGCGGGATGTTTCCCAATTCCGACCACGCTGCCACTGGGAGCAACGACAACAGGCCGTGCCCCAACAAGCACTCCTGCACCACCGACAACACCGAGAGCAACCGCGGGTGTTACAACACCAAGTGTCTCCACACCAGTGCTAACCACCGGTGCCACAACATCTCAGGCAACAACTCAACCACAGCAGACAACACCAGGTATGTTCTGCAACTGTCCACTACAAGAATTGTCTTCTGATGGGTGGTGCTCTACTGCAGTTCATTCATAAAAAGATGGGCCCTGGCTCTGGCAAGCTCCTTTTCTTTCTTTCTTTTTTTGCTATTTTGCATACTATAATTATGATGCAATGCCGCGAGATCAGGATCTTGAAAAAGGGTCCGAAAACGAACCTTGAGTGGGGTTCGAATAGCACCGTGTACTGTTGCAAGTAGAGGGAAAAGGCCAGGATTCTCCCAATACAGTGTTTTGGAGCAAAACCTTGATGAAATCCTATTCTTGTTACAGTTTTTTGTTTGTTTGGAGACATAGACTTCAGAAACATTATTGGAAATCCATAGGGAATTGTCGAAAACTTCTTAAACCACACAATGTTTGACTCATTTATGGCCAAATGCTAGAAGTCCATCTTTTTATGCGTGGACTGTATCCTATAGTGTTCTGACTGGTGCCATAGTGGCCACGCAGATTATTGAAACAAACTCGAAAGAAACCTAATAGATCGGACTTGTCAAGATACGATTTAATAACTGTTGTACATGATGGTGTGTAGGAATATATTGAGCTATTGTAATGCCATAGTGCATGATAACTATAAATAGTCTTTATTATTCATCTTATGTACTGTCGTGGACATGAAAATCATGTCGAACGACTGGGCCTGCACCCTCATGGCCTCAGTGCGAACATAACGTTGCATGTGTGTATCTTATGCGTACTCACGGCTGCGTGGCCAGCGCCCTGGGGCCGTTTGACCTCCGACCGAATTTCCATGTCCACGGCTGTGGATCGTGTTCCAAAAGCGTAGATTTCGATTTCGAGTACAGTGCAGTGAGTGCAATTCTCTCTTCTGTGTTTGCTGCAGCTCCACCAACTATTCCAGTTGTCACCTGTCCACCAGGATATGAATACATCGGAGTTCCCACATTCAATCCAGGAACTGGTGCATTCACATTCCCAATTGGAAGTTTCCCAACAGTTGATCTTCCTACAGGAAATATTCCAACTGGTTTCCCTACAGTGGGCAGTCTTCCAACGTTTGATATTCCAACTGGCAGTCCTCCTACAATAGGTTCTCTACCAAGTTTCCCAACAGACTTTCCAACATTCAATATTCCTACAGGTTCTGTTCCATCAATACCTACCGTCGATATTCCAACAGGTTTCCCTACTTTCGACATTCCAACAGGTAGTTTCCCCACTGTGGATATTCCAACAGGTTTTCCAAGTATACCAACTGTTGATCTTGGAAGTGTCCCAACTGTTCCCACCAACTTTCCCATTGTGCCAACTGGTTTCCCAAGCATACCCACAGGTTTCCCCAGTGTGAGCATTCCCAATCTGCCCACAGGAGTTCCAGTGGGATGTTTCCCGATTCCAACCACACTGCCCCTGGGAACAACGGCAGCCACTGCCCAGACAACACCTACAGTCCAGGCGACAACTACGGTTGCTGCTACTCCTCCTGTGACCACACCTATCGTACCCACCTTCGGTTTCTCAACTCAACCAGTAACAACTCCGGCAGTAACAACTCCGGCTGTGACAACTCCCGCCGTGACAACTCCGGCTGTAACAACCCCGGCTGTGACAACTCCCGCCGTGACAACTCCGGCTGTAACAACCCCGGGAGTTTCAACTCCATCTGTGCCAATTGTCACTACACCATCTGTGCCAATTGTCTCTACCCCATCTGTGCCTACATTTGGCTTTACAACTCCCACGGTAGCAACTCCACTGGTGACGACTCCAGCTGTTTCAACACCTTCTTTGCCCATTGTCACCACGCCATCAGTCCCAACGTTTGGCCCCTCTAGTCCAACAGTTTCAATACCAGCTTTCACCACTCCTGGAGTGTCAAGTCCAGGAGCAACTACCCAGGCAGCCACAACACGGGCTGCTACAACTGCGGCTGGTACGACTGCTGCTGCTTCAACTGCTGCTGCAACAACAGCAGCCGCTACAACTGGAGCTGCTACAACTGGAGCCGCTACAACTGGAGCTGCTACGACTGCAGCCGGTACAACAGGCGCTGGCACGAGTGCTGGAGCAACAACAGCAGCTCCTACAACCGCAGCAGCTACAACAGCAGCAGGAACAACTGCTGCTGCTACAACAGCGGCTGGCACAACTGCAGCTCCTCCAACCTTGGCTGCCACAACTGCAGCGGGAACAACCATGGCCGGCACAACTGCAGCTGCTACGACTGCTGCTGCTTCAACTGCCGCTGCTACAACTGCTGCTGCTACGACAGGAGCTGCTACGACTGCAGCTGCTACAACTGGAGCCGCTACAACTGGAGCTGCTACGACTGCAGCCGGTACAACAGGTGCTGGCACAAGTGCTGCAGCAACAACAGCAGCTCCTACAACCGCAGCAGGTACAACAGCAGCAGGAACAACTGCTGCTGCTACAACAGCGGCTGGCACAACTGCAGCTCCTCCAACCTTGGCTGCCACAACTGCAGCTGGAACAACCATGGCCGGCACAACTGCAGCTGCTACGACTGCTGCTGCTGCTACAACTGCCGCTGCTACAACTGCTGCTGCTACGACAGGAGCTGCTACAACTGGAGCCGCTACAACTGGAGCTGCTACGACTGCAGCCGGTACAACAGGCGCTGGCACGAGTGCTGCAGCATCAACAGCAGCTGCTACAACCGCAGCTGCTACAACAGCAGCAGGAACAACTGTGGCTGGTACAACAGTGGCTGCCACGACTGCAGCTGGTACAACAGCAGCCGGTACAACCATGGCTGGAACAACTGCAGCTGCCACGACTGCAGCTGCTACAACAGCGGCTGGAACAACTGCAGCTGGCACAACTGCAGCTGGCACAACTGCAGCTTCCACGACAGCAGCTGCTACAACAGCAGCTCCTCCAACCGTGGCTGCCACAACGGCAGCTGGAACAACCATTGCTGGCACAACCGCTGCTGCTACAACTTCTGCTGGCGCCACAACCGTGGCTGGTACAACTGCTGCTGCTACCACCAGAGCGGCTACAACGGCAGCCGGTACAACTGCAGCCGGTTCAACAGGTGCTGCCACCACTGCTGCTGCCACAACTGCTGCAGCTACAACAGCGTCGGGTGCAACTGCTGCGGCCACAACTGTTGCAGCCACAACTGCTGCAGTTACAACAGCGTCTGGTGCGACTGCTGCTGCCACCACTGCTGCTGCCACAACTGCTGCAGTTACAACAGCGTCTGGTGCGACTGCTGCTGCCACAACTGCTGCAGCTACAACAGCGTCTGGTGCAACTGCTGCTGCCACAACTGCTGCTGCCACAACTGCGGCAGCTACAACAGCGTCTGGTGCGACTGCTGCTGCCACCACTGCTGCTGCCACAACTGCTGCAGCTACAACAGCGTCTGGTGCAACTGCTGCTGCTACAACTGCTGCAGGCACGGGAACTGGAGCAACCGTGGGAGCTACTTCCGCTGGTGGCACAACTGCTGCTGGTAGTAGCGCAGCTGTGAGTGGCACGACAGCAAAACCGACCACAGGATCTGCTCAACCACCAATAACATCAACAGCAGGAGAACCCGTATGTTCCTTGATAAACTTGTAATGCATGCACAAATAAAGACTTGTAGTATGAAAAGCTGCTACCATAGTTCTGGTGTAAGTTTGCCCATGGCTGTAATTGGATAGAGGCCATGGCTGTAGCTGGATAGTGGCCATTGTGCAAGCAGAGTTGCATGCATCCCAGCGATCACTGTATATCCATGCGAGTCGCGGCAGGAGTCGCATAGCTGTTAAGTGCACCCTGTGCCTCCCTTCTCTCTGGCTGTTTCTTCCTTTTCCCCATCTTCTGTTCTCCACCTACCCCCTTTCTCTTATCTTTTTCATTGTTCTCCACACTTCTCCCTTCTCTCTCTCCCCTCCCCCCCCCCCCCCTCTCTCCATCTCTCTCTCTCTCTCTCTCTCCAAACCCTGACATTGAGTTCTTCGCCCATGTATGTTATATTTTCTTGTTCAATTATGTAAACTGTGGATTTTGTGCAATGTGTGCGTGTGTGTGTGTGTGTGTGTGTGTGTGCGGGCACGTGTGTATTTGCGTGCATGCATGTGTGTGTGTGTGTGTGTGTGTGTGTGTATGTGTATGATTCAGGCGACAACAACTACCATCCCTGTCATAGTCATCTTGTCTTTGTCCGGGGTTGACGCGGGTGTCATGTACACCAACGAGCAGCTGGCTGCCAGGATTCGTAGCAGTCTGGAAATCGGCCCGGTGAACGTAACAGCTCAGACAAGCTCTGGCAGCGTGTAAGTAGTTCCTCTGTGTCAGTGCTGTTGCCTGAGTGCTGCCAGTGTGCGGGGGTGCTTACAGTGTGCGTGTACAGGCAGTGTATGTGTTTGCGTTCCTCTGTGAACACTACTGAAGTTTTCCTCTGGCCATTTCGGCAGCAATGAAATTTCCCGATTTTCTCATTTTCATGCCGCGGGCCAGCCGTTACCAACCCTGTGCACTGTAAAACCGGAAAGTTCAATGACCAACAAGTTAACGTTTTGGTAATTTTGGCACGATAACGTGCAGAAAGTTTAACGATGGCCACCTGGCCACCCATCTGTATGCGCATCTTTACACAGACATCTGAAACCGGGTTCGCGATAACGTTTCTTCAAATAACGAAAAAAAACGATTGGTAATTAAAACGATAGACTTTGTGACTTGCTAGACTTTCCTGTTTGACAGTAAATACTGGTTATGTTTTGTAACTTTTTAGTTGCAGGATTTTTTGTACTGAAAACGGGTTTATTCAAGCAATACGACATGGAAAGAAGGAAGAAAACCAAAGATACCGGGGATGAAACTCGACGATGAAATCGAAATGAAAATTTGAAAAAAAAGTCTAATCCAAAGAAACTCAAGGCAAATGTAACAAGGTTGTGTAAAAGATTCAACTCAATCGCTAGACGAATGCTTTGAAAAGATATGAAGTGTGCACGGAAGCAGTATGTTTGTTGTTTTCGTTTTTCGGGGATCAATACTGGTATTGATCCCATTCTGCTACCCACGGTCAAGTGAAAAAAGCTTTGTTCTGGCACAAGGGGTACTTCGTGGATTTGTGAAAAAGCCTTTTATCGGGCAATCACAGAACATGATAATTATCACAAGCCTGGCACAACAACTAACAAAAAACGAAAAATGAAATGACTTTTAAAGAAAAAGAGATTTCATTGGCGTGTTGAGTGCTCTCGAGCACCCCCAGGCTCACCGGTGCAAGCTGTTGCACTCCTGGCGTTGTTGAAGTGCCGTGCAACGCTCTAGTCTTCTGTCACATTGACGCTAACCAACATTGTTATTAGCATGTTCCCACTGAAGCTTATCATGAGGATCATGCTGTGCATTTTTTCTGATTTCTTCTCCAGTGTATGATTTATTGCATTTTAAACCATTGTGTTAATTTGCCTGTAAAAGAGGCTGAAAAGAAGAAGAAAAAAACTCCTGCTGTGTCCTATTTACAAGACTCTTTTACAGGCAAAATACAAACAATGAATGTGCAATACAAAAATTAGCGTCGAGCCGACAATAGTCGTAGAATTGCGATCAACAGAACGAGCTGAGCCGACATTTCACAAAGGCTATACTGCAATTAAAAAACGAGTGGATACGAAGGCGGTGAAGAACATTTTAGAATACAATAAAGCCTTTGTGAAATGTTGGTTCAGCTCGTTCTGTTGATCGCAATTCTAATACAAAAATTGGTAACTTTTCAAATAGAGAATAAAAGAATGCAAACCCAGCAGAGCTATGACAACTGCCAGTACCATCCTGGTTGAAGGCTAGCAGAACCTTGCTCAACTAAGCAGTTGGCAGAACCTTGCTCATTCAAGCAGTCAGCAGGGCCTTGCTCGATCAAGCAACCAGTCTTCCGGTGCAGCTTGTTGGCGTTGCAAAATTCCACCATCCTGTCTTCAGTGTATATGTTCTGAAAGAACCACCGTCTTCCAATCCTTCTGTTCATTCCGCTCTCTCTGTCTTGCTTTGCTGCTGCAGTCTGTCAGTGTACTTCTTCGTACGGGACAATGAGACAAATATGGCCGTGGACGCAGAGGCTGTTCTCTCTCGTATCAGTGTATCAAGCATCACAAATTCGCTGCTGACATCGTTCAGCGCAGCAGGTCTGACCTCTGCAGCATCCTGTAAGTGCCTCTGATCATTGGGCATATGTGCGCTTAGCCGTCTGTATGTGTGTGTGTGTGTGTGTGCATGTGTGCGTGGGTGCATGTGTGTGGGTATGTAGGGGGGGGGGGGTGCATGTGTGTGGGTGCATGTGTGCGTGTGTGTGTTTGTGGGTGCAGGTGTGTGTGTGCGTGCGTGTGTGCGTGTGTGCGTGCCGGTGTGTGTGTGTGTGCCGGTGTGTGTGTGTGCATGTGTGGGTGCATGCATGTGTGTGGGTGCATGCATGTGCGTGTGGGTGCATGTGTGTGGTGCATGTGTGTGGGTGGGTGCATGTGTGACGGTGGGTGCATGTGTGTGTGTGAATGTGTGTGGGTGGGTGCATGTGTGTGGGTGGGTGCTGTGTGTGGGTGCATGTGTATGGGTGTGTGTGTGTGTGCATGCATGTGGGCATGTGGGTGGGTGCATGTGTGGGTGCATGTGTGTGGGTACATGTGTGTGGGTGTGTGCATGTGTGTGTGTGTGTGTGTGTGTGTGTGTGTGTGTGCATGTGTGTGCATGTGTGTGGGTGCATGTGTGTGGGTGCATGTGTGTGGGTGGGGCATGTTTGTGGTGCATGTGTGTGGGTGGGTGCATGTGTGTGGGTGCAAGTGTGTGGGTGCGTGTGCATGTGTGGGTGCATGTGTGTGTGTGTGTGTGTGTGTGGGTACATGCACGTGGGTGGGTGCATGTGTGTGGGTGCATGTGTGTGGGTACATGTGTGTGGGTGCATGTGTGTGGGTGCATGTATGTGTGTGGGTGCATGTGTGTGGGTGCATGTGTGTGGGTGCATGTGTGTGGGTGCATGTGTGTGTGTGGGTGTGTATGTGTGTGGGTGTGTGGGTGTGTGGGTGTGTGGGTGTGTGGGTGTGTGGGTGTGTGGGTGGGTGTGTGTGTGTGTGTGTGGGTGTGTGGGTGTGTGGGTGTGTATGTGTGTGGGTGTGTATGTGTGTGGGTGGGTGGGTGGGTGGGTGCATGTGTGTGGGTGCATGTGTGTGGGTGCATGTGTGTGGGTGTGTATGTGTGTGGGTGTGTATGTGTGGGTGTGTGTGGGTGGGTGTACCATAATGATGCATGACACTTACTACAGTGCTGCTCAACGAAATTTGATCGCAAAAGTCACCAAATTCTGCACCAGTTCGCTGTGTTGGCAGGTCCCAGCGCTGCTCAGCTTGGCATTGACTGGATTGATCAGACTCCATTGAGCTGTACTGAAGTGTGTTTTCATCTGAGATTTCTGCTTTCTAAAATACAGGTGGTCTGCTTTTGCAGTGCATGACCGCAAGGTCAATAATACTATTACATCATATTAACATTGCATTTCTGGTTGTGGTTTCTACTGTGTGTGTGTGTGTGTGTGTGTGTGTGTGTGTGTGTGTGTGTGTGTGTGTGTGTGTGTGTGTGTGTGTGCGTGTGTGTGTGTGCGTACATGCGTGTGTGTGTGTGTGTGTACGTGTATGTGTGTTCGTGTGTGTGTGTGTGTACGTGTGCATGTGTGCATGTGCATGTGTGTGCGTGTGTGTGCGTGCGTACGGTCTTGTCTCAGTGTCGCCACGTCCCACTCTGCAGCCCACGGAGACGGACGACGACAGTGGCCTGGGCGGCGGTGCCATTGCCGGTATCATCATTGGTGTTCTCGCTGCTCTTGCAATACTCGCACTGCTTGCCTACTATATACGACTCAGAAAACGACGCTCAGAGTACTGGACCGATTCCACCAAGCAGAGTCGCAATAGTAAAAAGTGAGTGTGCCGCTGGCAAAGCTGGCAGATGCAAATACAAAAAGGGAAATTCCCTGTGTGCTGCTAGATCCCCGCCATGGGCTATGCAGTATCAATAATCAACACTGCCAAATGTAGAGTATTAACACGCTGCGAGATCTGTACTTTTGGCTGAGGCCGTGCACTGCCGTGCTGCTTTTAGTGGGACCTGGTCATAACGGTACATGTAAATGTGAACTAGTGCAGCAGGGGATTATTGGGCAGCCCCTCGCAGTTTATGAAACACTGGACGGTGTACAGGCAGTAAATGGTGCCCACTTTTCGCGAAGGGATTACATTGAGCAGGGCATGATATATACATGTGCACGAGCAGCACTCTTTAGAACTAAAGCTTGCTGCACAGGCTTTCTTCTCATCCAGCGCGCTAAAACAGGCGTTTGTTTTTCCACGTTTTCCCCGCAGGACCGAGGTATACTTTGACAACTACTCATTCAGCAAGCCGTGAAGCGGATCACGAATCCTGGCCGTGTCCGCCTTCTTTTTTTTTTTTATACCGTTCGCAGATTGGTTTACAGCTGTGTTGGCCGATGTCACATTTGCTTGTGTTTTTCAGAATCCACCCTGCTACTTATACATGGTACACCTTGCCTTGAACTCGTGACAGGGCTAGATCAAATACTTTTTTTTCATTCCACATTAGAAGAAACAACAAGTTAGGTTTTGAACAATTCAGTTAATTAATTATTGGCTAATGATAATACTAATAATATCAGTCAATTATTTGATGAACTAGGTAGGGCTGTTTACACATTGATAGGATTGCTTGCTTGCCAACTAGGGGCTCAGTGGCTTTCCTGCCATTGCGAACTGTTGGCGAAGTTTCAGTGGCTTAGAATCATTTCACGGTCGCTTGAATCACACATTTCTGTTGGTCTGTGCCAAAAAATGTAGCTGAACGCTACTTGCAACTTCCTGTGTGTTTGTGTGCGAACGTGCATCTACATGTTTGTACGTGTGTCATGTGTATGTGCATCTATCTGTTAGCCCTGCGTTTTAGGGCGCGTTTGAATTGTCACTCTTTGACTTTTCAAGGAGTTTCGTTTTTCTGAATAGGTGGCCTTATTGGCCTCTTCAGAAAATCGAAGCTCCTCGAAACTCCTCGAAACTCATCCGATGGGAAGGTGGATTAGTTTCAAAGAGTTTGGAATAGCTACGTCACGTAGCACGTGGAGATGGTCGATCCGATCGGACGTCATTATCGCCATGACAATTCCACTGAAAAACTCTAGAATGATAGAAACCGTTCTAATGGGACACTGCAACTAATCTCTTTATAAATTTTGTTTGAACAGTTGACGAAGACAATTCGAACGCGCCGCGCCCTAAGTCGCACGCACTACTACTTCAAGTAGTAAATTTTGCACTCTCGGTTAGAATGGCAGTTTTTTTGCACGGTGATCATTCAATGAGCCACTAATACATGGATGCACAGTACTGTTATGCTGCTGGGCAGTGCACGTCAGCAAAATCTGCCTACTGGCAAACATCCTGCTCGCCAAACCAGTCTTTCCTTGATGCCCTGATGCTTTTTGCGGCCCCATGCTCAGCTCGTGTGTCCGACGTGCAGCTCGAGCGAGTGGTCGGTTTGCACTGGTCAGCTTGCAATGTACTCCAGTAAATCTTCTTACCAAAGACCACCGTGACTAGCGACCAGCCTGGTACTACAGACCACTTTGCCGGGCACGGACGGTCTCACATTCACATACTGGTTGTGCGGTGCAAAAATCTAACTAAGAACCACCTGCCACTGAAGACCGCTTTCTCTGGCCCCAAGGGGTGGTCGTTAGCCACAGGTTTTACCAAGGGGTGGTCGTTAGCCACAGGTTTTACCAAGGGGTGGTCGTTAGCCACAGGTTTTACCAAGGGGTGGTCGTTAGCCACAGGTTTTACTGTAGTTAGTTTCATACACCACAACCTACTGGAGACATGATGGTGTTGGTACCTATGCTATAGCCTACACATCGTTTGCCAAGCACACCCCGCTGCGCACTCAATCCATGCTCTTTATCAGGTTGTATTATGCCCTTTATCAGGGGGGGGGGGGAGGGCATGCGCATATATACACAATTTATAAAAGGAGGGGATGTACCTTTATCAGGGGAGAGGATATCAGGTAGGCCTTTCCCAAATCGGCCATTTATTTTGGCCTATTCGGCTTTTCGATCGGCTGAAAAAATCGCCAGAATCGGCTGAAAATTTCTGTAAAAGGTTGAAATTCGGCTCTAAAGTCGCAGCCACCTTATGCAGATAATGGCTACAGAAATTGCATTTGCATGCTATTGAGGCACTATTCGGCGAATTCAGTGCGAAAATTGCGTATCCGGCTAAAAGATCGGTGATTTCTTCAAAACCACTATTTTCGGCCAGTGTTTTGGCCGGCCGATTTGGGAAATGCCCACGGGCCGTGACGCAGGCGCGCACGAGCGGTCATGCCCAGTTGCCCATGACCCTGCAAAACATGTATATTCGGCGATTTCTTGGCAAAATCTCAGAATTCGGTCAAAAGATCGGCGATTTTCTGGAAAGGCTACTTTTCGGCGAATTTTTCGCCGGCCGATTTGGGAAAGGCCTAATACCAGGGAAGAGAGATACATGTACACCCGTCCCCTGTAAAAGGAGGGGATGTGCGCCCTTTACCAAGAGAGGATATACACCCTTTATCACTCCCTTAGTATTGACTCCCGTTGATTTTCGATATACCTAAGCAGTCAAATATTCCTGCCAATTTCACTCCTTAGGGCTATATTGGGCGCTTTCGATTACACGTTTACACAATTCTGGAATTGTTTTTTTAAATTCTGGAATGACCAGAATGAGCGGATTCCAGCCTTGTAAACGAACGACTGGAATTCACAACGCATTTTATTCATGTCATGTCACAAACAAAATTGATGAATCGTAAAAAGAGATCACGTACACCCTTGCGCGCACGTGGACCCAGCATCGCGCACACGTCGGCCAGGGAGGCTCTTCGCGCGCTTGAGTCATGACCAGACCGGTAACACACCGACTGCGCAAATCTGGCGCCAGAATTAGAGAAATTCCGCCCTCTCTTCAGAATTGACGGATTCGACGGAATTGGATAAAATCAATTCTAACGACGGAATTTGTCACTTTTTGTGTAATCGAACTGTGCATCAACAATAACTACAGTCAACTTCGCTTATAATGACACTCGGGGGGGGGGGGGGGGCATCAGAAAAGTGTCCTTATTCGCGAAGTGTCCTTATACCCGAAGTCTCATTACATGTATCACAGTGGGATGGGACTTTGCTCTGGGCATGGGAATTCTGTCGTTATTCGCGAAATGTCGTTATATCCGCAGTCGTTATTAGCGAAGTTGACTGTAATTCTAGAATTGACCGAAATGCGTGTAATCGAAAGCGCCCAATGGCTGCTTATATTTGACTGCTTAGGGGTTGTGCAGTTGAACGGGGCCTAAACTATGTAGTGCAGCATGGTCATGGCATACGTAGGCGATGGTGCAACGGTTGTGCAATCATAAAACCTGGATTCATGAGGTTATCGTTCTGGAATTAGAAATACGGACTGATTGTCGTGATAAATCTAATATTGACTTCGTACTTGGTCAGTATAGGAAATAAAAACCTCGTAAAAGACCTCGGCTTCGCCTCGGTCTTTTACTCGGCTTTTATTTCCTATATTGACCTCGTAGTCAATATTAGATACTTACCGGTACCAGGGGAGAGAGAGATATGTGCCTTGTACAAGGGAAGGAGTGGCAGCTTTGACAACATCAGTATGTGCACGTACATGAATTTCTCCTAAAATTGAGCTCGCCCAGAACCTACAGGAGTAGTGGTGATGGTGGTCGTCTGGTTGACGGGTGGAGATCATTCTACATTGATGACAAGGGGCAGCAGATGCGGAAATACGGGACGAGAAAAGGTTCTCAGAACTTGAAAGCTAAAACTCAATTGGATTTTTGCACTAAGAGACTTACATGTACATGTAGCCATACAGCGGGTTCCCATGATATCCATCCTCATGCAGTCCTCGGGCTGTTCATGACATGGGACTGGCAGCTCACGCCTGCATTTGAATTTTTTTTACAAAGAACACAACCCGGCTCGAGACAAATTGAATAACACCAAGAGTAGCTAAACACTATGTATCTACTCTTGATAACACGAAAGATACTGTGACAAAGTTAGTTGCGGGGAGGACGAAGATACGACTAGAACACAGAAGTTGAGGGTTAATGAAGTTGAAGACACCACTGCAGCAGTACTTATGGTTGATAAATATGGTGGTAAAGACACACCTGGCAATATGGCGGTAAACACAGCTTGGAGAGCGTGTGTGGGCAGGCGTGTGTTTACCGCCATATTGCCAGGTGTGTCTTTACCACCATATTTATCAACCGTAAGTTGAGGGTTGACGGAACAAACAACTATTGAGTCGGGGCTAGGCTCCGGCGCATTATGCCCGCGAAATCACGGAAGTATGCTTTCATGGATGCTCACATTATGCTCGCAACATCCTCATAATATTTTTATGCTTTGGCATCAGGGATACTGTCTTATTCACTTTGTTGTACTTACGGGGCTTTGAAGTTCGGAAAATCGTGCGTTTTCCGTACTACATGTACTACATGTAGTGCTGGACGACGTTCATTATGCCAAAGTATCCAAAAGCAATTGATAAAGAAGCGCGGGTCAAATTATTCAACGATTGTACAATCAAATCAAACGATGTCACTTTTTTATGAAGTCATGCCCTAGTGTACACTGAGTGACCGGAAACTAGAGAACGAAGGATAACGCTAAATCCCTCAGTTACAACTAATCATTAGTCGCATGGAATGATCTTGTACTCGGACTGCTGTCCAAGTATTCAAAATAGGTCACTTTTTTATCTGGTCACCAATGGTCAATCCTTCGGTCAGTTACGTTTTCGGTTTTCAACAGGGTTCTTTTTCCCGCAGATCTATCTGTAACCTATTCAGTTACCTTCGGTGACTTCTTTCACTTGTGATTTTTCTCCTCCCTCCCCATTACCATTATTATTATTATCATTATTATTAGCGTGCTAGTTTGTACGTGAAGTGTGTGGGTTACAGTGAGGGCTGCGTCCCACCCGCCTGTGTGGATTCACAGGAAGTGTGAGTTACGAAGTCTGAGGAAAACGTTGAACGGTCTCTGCTGGGATGACGACTACACCATAGCTCAGTGGTTAGAGCATCGCTGGCTACAAGCGAGGGTCCCTGGTTCGAGTCCTGGTGGTGACAGTCAATTTTTTCTTCAGACTTTCCCGTTTGTCTCTTTCCCTCAAACCAGTTAATATTATTATTATTATTATTATTATTATTATCGTCTCTGTAAGTTTGTATCCCTGGTGATGTTTGTGCCTGGAGAGCACTATATATAAGTGGTGCTCTTCAGGCACAATATTCCTCAGCCTACTCAAGCTCAACTGATGAGGGGTGAATTCCCCGAAACACTGTGTATTGAGCAGGGAGTGGTGCTTTCTTGCAGGTTTGCCGAGTCGAAGGTTCGATGGACTTCTCGTGTGCTCTGGATTGCAGTCGTGAGTCAGTCAAGTGTCAAGTAAAGTCGGCGGAATAGCGCGAGCTCCGGTGTGGGGAGCAAACCTTTCTTATTATTATTATCATTATTCGAATGATCAGTCGGGGAAGTGAACTGCCTGAAAAGAGGAAAAAAACGCCAGACCCACCAGGACTCGAACCTGGGACCCTGCTTGTCATGAGCAATGCTCTAACCACTGAGCTATGGGACCAGGCTGAACCTAGAAGGCGAGGGAAAAAGACCCAAGTGACATCAGTATGTGTGGCACGTGTTGTGAGCTGCCTTTGGAGTGGAAAATTTGTCAGCGCCTTCTAGGTTCAGCCTGGTCCCATACCTCAGTGGTTAGAGCATTGCTCATG